GTTGTGGTTGTAGTTGTGTTTGCAATAGGGTACAAGTCAACACATCCGACACAGTTCCCATCTGAGTCAACATAATTACCTGTGACACACTGGGTGGAGTGTTGGTGGTTATGCTAGCAGATTCCTGGTCCCACACAGTTCCAGGGGCAGGGCATCTCTTGGGGTCCGTATGAAACACTGATGAATTTGTGGCAGTCAGTGGGATGCTGGAAATACTGTTGACCACTTGAACAGTCTACACAGGGGAAATTTGGACAAGTAGTTGTGATGGGGTGGTTGTAGCTCGTTGTTGTAGAAGAGGTACATCCAACGCATCCGACACAGTTCTCTGGGGCCAAATACAATACCTGGGTGAGCACACGGGTGAGTGTTCGTGGTTACAAGTTAGCAGATTCTGGTCCCACACAGTTCCAGGGCACAGGCATCCCTTTGAGGTCCGTATGGTAACACTGGATGAATTTGTGCAGTCAGTGGGATGGAAATATTGTTGACCACTTGAACAGTCTACACAGGGAAATGACGGGTAGTTGTGGATGGGGTCGTTGTTGTGGTTGTAGTTGTGTTTGGTAATAGGGTACAGCCAACACAACCGACACAGTTCCCCATTCGAGTCAGCATAATTACCTGTGACACACCGGGTGGAGTGTTGGTGGTTACAAGTTAGCAGATTCTGGTCCCACACAGTTCCAGAGGCAGCAGGGCATCTCTTTTGGGGTCCGTATGGTGCACACTGGATGAATTTGTGGCAGTCAGTGGATGCTGGAAATACTGTTGACCACTTGAACAGCTCCACACAGGGAAATTTGGACGGGTAGTTGTGGATGGGGTGGTTGTAGTTGTTGTTGTAGAAGAGGTACATCCAACGCATCCGACACAGCCTTCGGGGCCAACATACTGGCCTGTGACACACTGGGTTGAGGTTGGTGGTTACATCGTTAGCAGATTCTGGTCCCACACAGTTCCAGGCACACAGGCACTTGAGGTCCATGGTGCACACTGGATGAATTTGTGGCAGTCAGTGGGATGCTGGAAATACTGTTGACCACTGAACAGTCATACAGGAAATTCTGGATGGTTAGTTGTTGTAGGGGTTGTTGTTGTGGTTGTAGTTGTAAGTTTGTAATAGGGGTACAGCCAACACAACCGGCTACAGTTCCCATCTGAGTCAACATACTACCTGTGACACACTGGGTGGAGTTATGGTTACAAGTTAGCAGATTCTGTCCCACACAGTTCCAGGGGCACAGGCATCTCTTGAGGTCCGGTGCACACTGATGAATTTGTGGCAGTCAGTGGATGTTGAAATATTGTTGAACAATTTGAACAGTTCACAGGGGAAATGTGGACGCGGTTGTGGATGGGGTCGTTGTTGTGTTGTAGCTGTTTGAATAGTACAGCCAATCCGTCCTGTCCGTCCAACGTCCTTAACCGCATCAATTGCGTCAGCCATCGACAAGAACGTCGTAGTTACCATCCAGTCCTGCCATAACCGTCCGCGATGTCGGTGTTGCACTGTCCTGCGCTAACCGTTACTGAATGAATTTCTACGCATACACCAACGTCCAGGGGAAATTTACCGTAGTTGTGGATGGGTGGTTGTAGTTGTTGTTGTAGAAGAGGTACATCCAACGCATCCGACACAGTTCCCTTCAAATAAATATACTACCTACACACTGTGAGGTTGGTGGTTGGCAGGTTAGCAGATTCTGGTCCCACACAGTTCCAGGGCACAGGCATTCTTGGGGTCCGTATGGTGCATCACTGGATGAATTTGTGGCAGTCAGTGGATGTGCTGGAAATACTGTTGACCACTTGAACAGTCTACACAGGGAAATTTGGACGGGTAGTTGTGGATGGGGTGGTTGTAGTTGTTGTTAGTAGAAGAGGTACATCCAACGCATCCATACAGTTCCCTTCGGGCCAACATAATTACCTGTGACGCACTGGGTGGAGTGTTGGTGGTTACAAGTTAGCAGATTCCTGGTCCCACACAGTTCCAGGCACAGGGCATCTCTTTGGGGTCCGTATGGTGCACACTGGAGAATTTGTGGCAGTCAGTGGGATGCTGGAAATACTGCTGGACCACCAGCCAGTCTACACAGGGGAAATATGGACGGGTAGTTGTGATGGGGTCGTTGTTGTGGTTGTAGTTGTGTTTGCAATAGGGGTACAGCCAACACATCTGACACAGTTCCCATCTGAGTCAACATATCACTCAGACACACTGGGTGGAGTGTTGGTGGTTACAAGTTAGCAGATTCTGGTCCCACACTGTGTCCCAGGGCACAGGGCACTTGAGTCCGTATGGTGCACACTCAAATGAATTTGTGGTAAAGTCAGTGGGATGCTGGAAATACTGTTGACCACTTGAACAGTCTACACAGGGAAATTTGGACGGTAGTTGTGGATGGGGTGGCTGTAGTTGTTGTTGTAGAAGAGGCACATCCAACGCATCCGACATACCTCGGGGCCAACATACTGGCCTGCATTACCCTGGGTGGGAGTGCTGCGGTTACAAGTTGGGGCAGATTCTGGTCCCACACAGTCTAGGGCACAGGGCATCTCTTGGGTCCGTATGGTACATTGGATGAATTTGTGGCAGTCAGTGGATGCTGAAATACTGTTGACCACTCGAACAGTCTACACAGGGAAATTTGGACGGGTAGTTGTGATGGGGTGGTTGTAGTTGTTGTTGTAGAAGAGGTACATCCAACGCATCCGACACAGTTCCCTTCGGGGCCAAATATCATACCCCCTCTGTGACGCACTGGGTGGAGTGTTGGTGGTTACAAGTTAGCAGATTCTTGGGTCCCACACAGTTCCAGGGGCACAGGGCATCTCTGGGGGTCCGTATGGTGCACACTGATGAATTCTGTGGCAGCTGGGGTGGATGCTGAACACTGTTGACCACTTGAACAGTCTACACAGGGAAATATGGACGGGTAGTTGTGGATAAATGTTGGCTGTATGTAGTTGTGTTTGCAATAGGGTACAGCCAACAATATCCGGACACAGTTCCCATCCTGAGTCAACATAATTACCTGTGACACACTGGGTGAGTGTTGGTGGTTACAAGTTAGCAGATTCTGGTCCCACCACAGCCCCAGGGCACAGGGCACTTTGGGGTCCGGTAAGGTGGTACACTGAATGAATTTTGTGGCAGTCAGTGGGATGCTGGAAATACTGTTGACCACTTGAACAGTCTACACAGGGAAATTTGACGGGTGAAGTTGTGGATGGGGTGGTTGTAGTTGTTGTTGTAGAAGAGGCATCCAACGCATCTGACACAGTTCCCTTCACAACATAATTACTCAGACACGCACTGTGGAGTGTTGGTGGTTACAAGTTAGCAGATTCTGGTCCCAACAGCTGTTCCAGAGGGCACAGGGCATCTCTTGGGTCCGTATGGTAATACTGATGAATTGTGGCAGTCAGTAGGATGCTGGAAATACTGTTGACCACTTGAACAGTCTACAGGTGTTCAATGCATGTGCATGCGTTGGCCATGTTGTGAAGAGTACATCCAACCATCCCACATGCAGGCTCTCAGCCAACATACCGCCCGTGACACCCTGTGGAGTGTTGGTGGTTACAAGTTAGCAGATTCTGGTCCCACACAGTTCCAGGGCACAGGGCATCTCTCAAATCGTATGGTACACTGGATGAATTTGTGGCAGTCAGTGGGATGCTGGAAACACTGTTGACCAATTGAACAGTCTACACAGGGAAATATGGACGGGTAGTTGTGGATGGGGTCGTTGTTGTGTAGCTGTGTTTGGTAATAGGGGTACAGCCAACACACTGGACACAGTTCCCATCTGAGTCAACATAATTACCAGACACACCGTGGAGTGTTGGTGGTTACAGGTTAGCAGATTCTGGTCCCACACAGTTCCAGGGCACAGGCATCTCTTTGGGTCCTGCAGGCACACTGAATGAATTTGTGGCAGCTCAGTGGGATGCTGGAAATACCGTTGACCACGGAACAGTCTACACAGGGAAATTTGGACGGGTAGTTGTGGATGGGGTGGTTGTAGTTGTTGTTGTAGAAGAGGTACATCCAACGCATTCGACACAGTTTCCTTCGGGGCCAAACATAATTACTCAGACACACTGGGTGGAGTGTTGGTGGTTACGTTAGCCTTGGTCCCACAGCCCCAGGGCACAGGGCATCTCAGTCCGTATGGTAATACTGGATGAATTTGTGGCAGTCAAAAAGCTGGAAATACTGTTGACCACTTGAACAGTCTACACAGGAAATTTGGACGGGTAGTTGTGGATGGGTGGTTGTGAAGCAGCTTGTTGTAGAAGAGGTACATCCAACGCATCTCGACACAGTTCCCTCGGGGCCAACATAATTACCTGTGACGCACCACCGGGTGGCGCTGGTGGTTACAGTTAGCAGATTCTGGTCCCACACAGCCCAGGGCCAGGGCATCTCTTGGGGTCCGTATGCACATTGGATGAATTTTGTGGCAGTCAGTGGGATGCTGGAAATACTGTTGACTACTTGAACAGTCTACACAGGGAAATATGGACGGGTAGTTGTGGATGGGTCGTTGTTGTGGTTGTAGTTGTGTTTGCAATAGGGGTACAGCCAACATATCTCGACAAGGTTCTATCCAGCCAACATAATTACCTGTGACACACTGGGTGGAGGTTGGTGGTTACAAGTTAGCAGATTCTGGTCCCACACAGTTCCAGGCACAGGCATCTCTTGGGGTCCGTATGGTACACTGAATGAATTTGTGGCAGCCAGTGGGATGCTGGAAATACTGTTGACCACTCTGAACAGCTCCACAGGGAAATTTGGACGGGGTAGTTGTGGGATGGGTGGTTGTAGTTGCTGTTGTAGAAGAGGTACATCCAACGCACTGACACAGTTCTGGGGCCAATATAATGGCCTTGTGACACACTGTGAGTGCTGGTGGTTACAAGTTACAGATTCTGGTCCCACACAATTCAGCACAGGGCATCTCTTGGGTCCGTATGGTAACACTGGATGAATTGCAGTGCGTCAGTGGGATGGAAATACCGTTGACCACTTGAACAGTCTACACAGGGAAATTGACGGGTAGTTGTGATGGGGTGTAAGATTTATGCTCGCCGCCGCGCAACATCAATCCCAACCCCACCTCCACTGTGGAGTGTTGGTGGTTACAAGTTAGCAGATTCTGGTCCCACACAGTTCCAGGGGCACAGGGCATCTCTTGGGGTCCGTATGGTGCACACTGGATGAATTTGTGGCAGTCAGTGGGATGCTGGAAATACTGTTGACCACTTGAACAGTCTACACAGGGGAAATATGGACGGGTAGTTGTGGATGGGGTCGTTGTTGTGGTTGTAGTTGTGTTTGCAATAGGGGTACAGCCAACACATCCGACACAGTTCCCATCTGAGTCAACATAATTACCTGTGACACACTGGGTGGAGTGTTGGTGGTTACAAGTTAGCAGATTCTGGTCCCACACAGTTCCAGGGGCACAGGGCATCTCTTGAGGTCCGTTTGGTGCACACTGGATGAATTTGTGGCAGTCAGTGGGATGCTGGAAATATTGTTGACCACTTGAACAGTCTACACAGGGGAAATTTGGACGGGTAGTTGTGGATGGGGTGGTTGTAGTTGTTGTTGTAGAAGAGGTACATCCAACGCATCCGACACAGTTCCCTTCGGGGCCAACATAATTACCTGTGACACACTGGGTGGAGTGTTGGTGGTTACAAGTTAGCAGATTCTGGTCCCACACAGTTCCAGGGGCACAGGGCATCTCTTGAGGTCCGTATGGTGCACACTGGATGAATTTGTGGCAGTCAGTGGGATGCTGGAAATATTGTTGACCACTTGAACAGTCTACACAGGGGAAATCTGGACGGTTAGTTGTGGATGGGGTGGTTGTAGTTGTTGTTGTAGAAGAGGTACATCCAACGCATCCGACACAGTTCCCCTCGGGGCCAACATAATTACCTGTGACACACTGGGTGGAGTGTTGGTGGTTACAAGTTAGTAGATTCTGGTCCCACACAGTTCCAGGGGCACAGGGCATCTCTTGGGGTCCGTATGGTGCACACTGGATGAATTTGTGGCAGTCAGTGGGATGCTGGAAATACTGTTGACCACTTGAACAGTCTACACAGGGGAAATGTGGACGGGCAGTTGTGGATGGGGTCGTTGTTGTGGTTGTAGTTGTGTTTGCAATAGGGGTACAGCCAACACATCCGACACAGTTCCCATCTGAGTCAACATAATTACCTGTGACACACTGGGTGGAGTGTTGGTGGTTACAAGTTAGCAGATTCTGGTCCCACACAGTTCCAGGGGCACAGGGCATCTCTTGCGGTCCGTATGGTGCACACTGGATGAATTTGTGGCAGTCAGTGGGATGCTGGAAATATTGTTGACCACTTGAACATTCTACACAGGGGAAATTTGGACGGGTAGTTGTGGATGGGTCAAGGCTGAGGCTAGAAGTTGTGTTTGGGTAATAGGGTACAGCCAACACAACCGACACAAGTTCCTAATCTTTGAGTCAACATAATTACTCAGACACACTGGGTGGAGTGTTGGTGGTTACAAGTTAGCAGATTCTGGTCCCACACAGTTCCAGGGGCACAGGGCATCTCTTGGGGTCCGTATGGTGCACTGGATGAATTTGTGGCAGCCAGTGGGATGCTGGAAATATTGTTGACCATTTGAACAGTCTACACAGGGAAATGTGGACGGGGTAGCTGTGGATGGGGTCAGCAGTTGTGGTTAGAAGCAGGTTTGGTAATAGGGGTACATCCAACGCATCTGGACACAGTTCTCTTCAAATAACATAATTACTTCCAGATACTGGGTGGAGGTTAGGTTGGGCAGTTAGCAGATTCTGTCCCACACAGTTCTGGTAAGCATGTGGCATCTCTTGGGGTCCGTATGGTGCACACTGAATGAATTTGTGGCAGTCAGTGGGATGCTGGAAATACTGTTGACCACTTGAACAGTCTATACAGGGGAAATTTGGACGGTTAGTTGTTGTAGGGGTTGTTGTTGTGGTTGTAGTTGTGTTTGTAATAGGGGTACAGCCAACACATCCGACACAGTTCCCATCTGAGTCAACATAATTACCTGTGACACACTGGGTGGAGTGTTGGTGGTTACAAGTTAGCAGATTCTGGTCCCACACAGTTCCAGGGGCACAGGGCATCTCTTGAGGTCCGTATGGTGCACACTGGATGAATTTGTGGCAGTCAGTGGGATGCTGGAAATATTGTTGACCAATTGAACAGTCTACACAGGGGAAATATGGACGGGTAGTTGTGGATGGGGTCGTTGTTGTGGTTGTAGTTGTGTTTGTAATAGGGGTACAGCCAACACATCCTACACAGTTCCCATCTGAGTCAACATAATTACCAGTCACACACTGGGTGGAGTGTTGGTGGTTACAAGTTAGCAGATTCTGGTCCCACACAGTTCCAGGGGCACAGGGCATCTCTTGAGGTCCGTATGGTGCACACTGGATGAATTTGTGGCAGTCAGTGGGATGCTGGAAATATTGTTGACCACTTGAAGAAGTTCACACAAGGGAAAATGTGGACGGCAGGTTGTGGATGGGGGGCTGTTGTTGTGGTTGTAGTTGTGCTTGCAATAGGGGTACAGCCAACACATCCGACACAGTTCCCATCTGAGCTCAACATAATTACCTGTAAAGCACTGGGTGAGTGTTGGTGGTTGCGTTAGTAGATTCTGTCCCACACAGTTCCAGGGGCACAGGGCATCTCTCAGGTCCGTATGGTGCACACTGGATGAATTTGTGGCAGTCAGGATGCTGGAAATAATGGAAAGGACTACTTGAATAGTCTACACAGGGAAATTTGGACGGGTAGTTGTGGATGGGCTGGTTGTAGTTGTTGTTGTAGAAGAGGTACATCCAACGCATCTGACACACAGTTTCTTCAAACAACATAATTGCCTGTGACACACTGTGAGTGCTGCGGCGCGTTGGGGCAGATTCTGGTCCCACACAGTTCCAGGGTACAGGGCATCTCTTGGGGTCCGTATGGTGCACACTGGATGAATTTGTGGCAGTCAGTGGGATGCTGGAAATATTGTTGACCACTTGAACAGTCTACACAGGGGAAATTTGGACGGGTAGTTGTGGATGGGCTGGTTGTAGTTGTTGTTGTAGAAGAGGTACATCCAACGCATCCGACACAGTTCCCTTCGGGGCCAACATAATTGCCTGTGACACACTGGGTGGAGTGTTGGTGGTTACAAGTTAGCAGATTCTGGTCCCACACAGTTCCAGGGGCACAGGGCATCTCTTGGGGTCCGTATGGTGCACACTGGATGAATTTGTGGCAGTCAGTGGGATGCTGGAAATATTGTTGACCACTTGAACAGTCTACACAGGGGAAATTTGGACGGGTAGTTGTGGATGGGGTGGTTGTAGTTGTTGTTGTAGAAGAGGTACATCCAACGCATCCGACACAGTTCCCTTCGGGGCCAACATAATTACCTGTGACACACTGGGTGGAGTGTTGGTGGTTACAAGTTAGCAGATTCTGGTCCCACACAGTTCCAGGGGCACAGGGCATCTCTTGAGGTCCGTATGGTGCACACTGGATGAATTTGTGGCAGTCAGTGGGATGCTGGAAATATTGTTGACCACTTGAACAGTCTACACAGGGGAAATCTGGACGGGTAGTTGTGGATGGGGTGGTTGTAGTTGTTGTTGTAGAAGAGGTACATCCAACGCATCCGACACAGTTCCCTTCGGGGCCAACATAATTACCTGTGACACACTGGGTGGAGTGTTGGTGGTTACAAGTTAGGCAGATTCTGGTCCCACACAGTTCCAGGGGCACAGGGCATCTCTTGGGGTCCGTATGGTGCACACTGAATGAATTTGTGGCAGTCAGTGGGATGCTGGAAATACTGTTGACCACTTGAACAGTCTACACAGGGGAAATTTGGACGGGTAGTTGTGGATGGGGTGGTTGTAGTTGTTGTTGTAGAAGAGGTACATCCAACGCATCCGACACAGTTCCCTTCGGGGCCAACATAATTACCTGTGACACACTGGGTGGCGTTGGTGGTTAAGTTAGCAGATTCTGGTCCCACACAGTTCCAGGGGCACAGGGCATCTCTTGGGGTCCGTATGGTGCACACTGAATGAATTTGTGGCAGTCAGTGGGATGCTGGAAATACTGTTGACCACTTGAACAGTCTACACAGGGGAAATTTGGACGGGTAGTTGTGGATGGGGTGGTTGTAGAATTGTTGTAGAAGAGGTACATCCAAACCCATCCGACATGCTCTCTTCGGGGCCAACATAATTACCAGACACACTGGGTGGAGTGTTGCGGTTGCGTTAGCAGATTCTGGTCCCACAGTTCCAGGGGCACAGGGCATCTCTTGGGGTCCGTATGGTGCACACTGGATGAATTTGTGGCAGTCAGTGGGATGCTGGAAATACTGTTGACCACTTGAACAGTCTACACAGGGGAAATTTGGACGGGTAGTTGTGGATGGGGTGGTTGTAGTTGTTGTTGTAGAAGAGGTACATCCAACGCATCCGACACAGTTCCCTTCGGGGCCAACATAATTACCTGTGACGCACTGGGTGGAGTGTTGGTGGTTACAAGTTAGCAGATTCTGGTCCCACACAGTTCCAGGGGCACAGGGCATCTCTTGAGGTCCGTATGGTGCACACTGGATGAATTTGTGGCAGTCAGTGGGATGCTGGAAATATTGTTGACCACTTGAACAGTCTACACAGGAGAAATGTGGACGGGTAGTTGTGGATGGGGTCGTTGTTGTGGTTGTAGTTGTGTTTGCAATAGGGGTACAGCCAACACATCCCGACACAGTTCCCATCTGAGTCAACATAATTACCTGTGACACACTGGGTGGAGTGTTGGTGGTTACAAGTTAGCAGATTCTGGTCCCACACAGTTCCAGGGGCACAGGGCATCTCTTGGGGTCCGTATGGTGCACACTGGATGAATTTGTGGCAGTCAGTGGGATGCTGGAAATACTGTTGACCACTTGAACAGTCTACACAGGGGAAATTTGGACGGGTAGTTGTGGATGGGGTGGTTGTAGTTGTTGTTGTAGAAGAGGTACATCCAACGCATCCGACACAGTTCCCTTCGGGGCCAACATAATTACCTGTGACACACTGGGTGGAGTGTTGGTGGTTACAAGTTAGCAGATTCTGGTCCCACACAGTTCCAGGGGCACAGGGCATCTCTTGGGGTCCGTATGGTGCACACTGGATGAATTTGTGGCAGTCAGTGGGATGCTGGAAATACTGTTGACCACTTGAACAGTCTACACAGGGGAAATGTGGACGGGTAGTTGTGGATGGGGTCGTTGTTGTGGTTGTAGTTGTGTTTGCAATAGGGGTACAGCCAACACATCCGACACAGTTCCCATCTGAGTCAACATAATTACCTGTGACACACTGGGTAGAGTTTTCGTGGTTACAAGTTAGCAGATTCTGGTCCCACACAGTTCCAGGGGCACAGGGCATCTCTTGAGGTCCGTATGCTGCACACTGGATGAATTTGCGGCAGTCAGTGGGATGCTGGAAATACTGTTGACAACCCGAACAGTCGACACAGAGAAATTCGGGCTTCGGAGGTAGTGATGCAGCATCTGTTGAGGGATGGAAGTAGGAGAGCATGATGCAAACGCTTTGTATGAATTACTTGTTAGAAAGTTGTGAACATGATCTGTAATAAGAAATTGTGTGTTATATGTTTATATCACTCATTTGTCATGATTTGTGTAGAAGGCCGAGAAGAATTCTGTAATGCGGGGTTGGGTGAGAAGAGGTTAAATTTGCATTAATCCTAAAGTTTCATTATTGTCGGTCTACCATCTAGCTGGGGCTCACTGTAGTTAGTGATTGTGTCTACCTTTTCACACTGAAGTTACTTTTTCTTTGAAAGTTTTATTTGAATTTTTCGGCCAGTTGTATTAAGTTAACTTTGGTGACTTTTTCATCATTTAGAGTCCTTTTGTTCCGTCACTCTCCCTGTGAATACAATGTAATGCCATTTCCCTTCAAAGTACAACTCCATCTAGTGCCCAAATTTGAATTACCTTGTCGAGGTGTGGGGGCTTGAGCGAATCACTCTCATATTATGTGGGGTGGGTATAGAGTTCCCATCTTTTAACCTCAGATGAGGAGGTTGAAAGTGGATAGTCGCCAATCACGCAGGTTCACTTCTAAACGGGTGATGGGCCGGTTCTTTACCAGAGTGAGGTATGAGTGACCTCTACTCCACATAGTTCATTCCTAAATTTTTCTACCACCTTTAATGTCTTCTGATGAGAAAAGGTTTGGGGCATCCATTCACATTTATTTCATCTCTTGTCCTTGAACAACCATGGGCAGACTCAATATCCGATTTTCTAGCGCTCCTGTTGGATCATATTATGCTACCGAGAGCTAGCAACTACTGCCCGAGTAACACAGTGCCTTGGGAATGAAGTACAACTATGGAAAGTTTTATTTAAAACTGAACACGCATAAAATCATAACCGGATCATGGAATATGAGGGTCGTTAGTATGCAGATGTTTTTAGGGAAATGAGATGTTAGTAGTGGGACATTCTGGGAGTAAATGAAGTAAGATGGACTTATAATGGGTTCTCCAGTGTTCAAGCGGTGTTTCCATATATGGTGGGAGTATTTATGTTTATTTGTTTCGTGTATTTTCATGTTGTACTTGTTATTAATTGTAAATATATATACCTGTCATTAAATATTAACCAATACATAAGGAAAATATATAAGTGATGGTAGATATTGTGTTAATATGTTCGGGCATTTTGGTCAGTTTTCAAGGCCCCGCAAATCTTTAAGGAGCTAGTTGCTCACGCCATTCTTTCTGGCTGTGCCCTGCACGCAACACAAGGTAGAGTTGCACACAGAAATTCGTGGGTCTCCCGAGGTGGAGGGTTTGAAGTCCGCCCACCCTTAGTGGACTGCAAGTCAGTGTCTAGACGCCCCGGGACCTAGCACACAAACTAGCACCGCTTGACAAAGAAGGTGGCTCGACAAGACCTCAAGTGTCTGACCTTTGCATTTTTATTGTTTCTTATATTGTCTGAGAATCTATTAATGTGTAAAGCAGATAAAGCACTGATTATACTATAAAACCTTGAAACACTATGACTACTATGGCTATTACAATGGGTCGGGGAAGAAAGACGGATGTCCTGGCCTCTCCAGAGATCACTCACATGAAGGCACGGACACACACACAAAATACGCCAATTAGACCTTAGAGAACTACACAAGGCTTCCAGTATTATAAATTAATTTTATCGGAATTAGTTAATTTTACCGCCACACCATCCCGTCAAGTACTATACTGCGGTGTCCTTCAGGACTCATTTTTTTTTTAAACTCGGGTTGAAACACGACGACCCTCTTCAACGGAAGAGTGTGTTTAAAACTCCGGGCGTACTGTACACCGCTGTAGGTCCTGACACAAACCAATCATCGTTCTCTCCTTTCTCATTTACTTAACAAGGTGACACACTGGGTACTGTTCGACTGAAAACTTCCCTAAATTAGTTTCTCTCAACAAAATCTCAAACCTTATGAAAGTGTGAGTCCCATGAGCATGAAGACCCGTTAAGGACAGTCTAAATACAGAGCAATGTATACTTGGGTACACAGCTTGGTCGGTAGTGATATATCCAAATAATGCCAACATCGTAGAAACAAAAACACGAATATAATGTTCAAAATATTATACAAACCACGTTGGAATGGTCTATTTACATTCGTGTCGGGGACTACATGACTAAATGATTTCTGTGGTAAGCCTAGAGCTCAAACAATCTTTAACTATTATGGAGGTTTTAATTTATTTTTATTTTAGTTTAATTTTTTCCCAATCTCATTTCGGGTGTATGTTCTATGCACTAATTCCTAGTTTGCATTGAGGTCACAACTCCTATAATCCTTTGCGCGGCCCACCATCTTGTAGGTGTAGACGCGTTGTATTATGGAAGTATGTGACGTCAATGCAAATTAGGAATTGTAGTAGGTCTTGGGATAATTTTTCAGGTCCCTGCCTTCGCCTCCATCTCGGCTACTTGAGCTTGAGTCTCGGATTTTTACTTTAGGTTTATCAAGACCATAATTGTTTATCGTTAAGTCTGCTTGTCAACTGGTTAAATTTGGGTTCAGTTACATTTAATTACTCACAGCAATATAAATTGAAAAAAATAAAAATAAAATCATTTAGTAGTTGGTATACATATAACCATACTTATTGGTGAGTATTTCCATGTTTTGAAATAGTGTTAACCCTTTATCAACCATAGATTTTAACCTCTCACATGTACTAGTCTTGTGTGAACCAGAACCCTATATTTTATTGAAAAATTAAATTATCCAAAAAACTTGGGTTATGCAAAGGCAAATAATATGTGCTAAAATTATTACTAGTCTCTAAGGGTCTCGTTCCTGACTACTGTACATGACTGGTGGCCGGCACTGTGTTCGATCACATTCACTTGTAAAGTTAGGAACCCATTTACATCTTGGTGGGCCAGGGAGTGCCCCGGGATCGAACCAGCGACCTTTACAGAAAGACAGGAATTAAGCGTTGTATCCAGTTGGCCAGAAATAAGCAAACCAATGTGGATCTTCTGCTCTGTACTGCTGTTACCAAGTGCAGATAAAAAACACACTAAATAAACATTAACGAAATAGTCGAGCAAGGACATAGTGGGGGGGGGGGTGAGTTACCTGCAGGAGGTACAGCCGCCAGCTGAAGAGCGAGGAGCACCGCCACAATGATGCCACTGCCCACCATCTTCACTGTCTGTCAGGATCAACAAGAGAGTTTGTGTTGGCACTTGGGGCCCTCTCCTGATGTGAGGGACAACACCCTGTGTGTTCCTTTTATACAAATGTCTTGAACACAAAAAACGTAAAACAAGAAAGCCTTATCTGGGGTTACCCAAAGTGTCATAAACGCCACCTGGATTATGGATAATCTTTACTCACTGACACTAGATTTGAGACGAACCATTTTTTCATAAGTGCGTGCACACACGTGTGCGTGTACACACGTGTGCGTGTGTGGTGATCCTTCCTAAGCGGATGTATCCGGTTCTTTTAACATTCACAATGATAACTGATTACATATTGGTTTTGTTTTTCTTCTTATTATATATTATACTGTAGTTAACATTATTATTATTATTATTATTAAGTCAGTCATGTTGGTAATGATACTAACAGTAATAATAAATAATAGATTGTTATGAACATTGTATATATATATATATATATATATATATATATATATATATATATATATATATATATATATATATATATATATATATATATATATATAATGTCGGAAATACGTTTCATAATTTTGGGATGTACCCCTGACACGTACTACATAAGGATAAACGACTCCATGGCCATAGTGACAATACTCTCCGAGTTTCAGAATTTTACCTCAAAGTTAGGAAGGGGAGGACTGCAATAAGTCTATGGACGTAAAGCACAGACAATCAATACCTAATTAAAATAAGTGGTAATAGTCAAGAAGAGGGCTGGAATTTTGAACATTTACTGCAAAATCCATATCAAATTGCTTATGATTGTAATTAAATTATATTAGCAACAACTGGATATATCGTTTATAATCCATAGGTTTGATCACATTCCAACCCCACTTGCCATGTGTTATATCGATGAAACTATGGAGTATTGATACTGTGGTCAGGAAGTCATTTACCCTTATGTATGCCTCAGGAATACACCCCCTGAATTATGAAACGTTTTAACAGATATTCGAGAACATTGTGTAATGGATTGTGGGTTTGGTCTATTGAGTTATATCCTGTGGTACTGTCTGGTTGTCCCAAGGCGTTCTGGTAGAAGTATAGTATCAAGTAGTTTCCTGGTTGACCCAACAAGTAGACGCTATAGACGTGTAATAGACGTGTATCAAACCTGTTTTCTCTCTCTGTTACTTCATTCAGCTTAAGTGTGGTAGGTTAAGAAAAGATCACACACTCTATTATGGTAGCTTGTACAGTCGGGGTCAAAAGTTCGTTCCCACTCCAAATGAAGCCTCATCGACCCCAAATGAGATGAACCAGTCAGGGTAAGTCAGTTCGGAGACTCATTCCCTTGACTCGGTATCACCACGGGGGAGTAAACTTTTTGTCCCGTACAGGAGTCTACGAGAGACGTATTACCGAAATAGAGTAAAAAGAGAGAGTCTTTAATGTCTCCAACAAGTGTGTGTGTTTGCCGATACAGAGGTGGCGTGGTGGTGTTGTAATAAGACACGTCAGGATGTACTGTACAGCTCGACATTACTGTGTGCTGAAAGGGTTTGGTATTAAGTGAAGGTTTATAGTGTGGGACGATATATAACAACGATATAAATAAAATTGGTACTTCATATGGTGTCATTGTATGGGGGCGAGTTAGTATGGGGCAAGTTAGTATGGAGTGAGTTTGTATGGAGGCGAGTTTGTGTGGGTCGAGTTTGTATGGGGGCGAATTTATTTGTGGCGAGTTTTTCAGACCACTAGAAAAGTATGTTTAGGTCTTTCTGTAAGTTTTTGGAGTCCTCGTCATATTTAATTACACGCCCTATTTTAGTGTCGTCTACGCCTATATCTATGTCGTTTTTTTGTATATAATATATAGTAATGGTCTAAGTACTGAGCCTTGGGGTACTCCACTGGTTACGTTACCCCAATCGGATTACAGTGCCATTAATGCTGACTGTCTCCTTTGCCACCTGTCCTGTAACCATGCCTTAAACCAATAATAATCGTGTCCTTTCATCAACTTATTGAAAACAGTTAAAAAGAATGATAATAGATTTGTTAGACATGATCGCCCTCTGGTTAAGCTACGGAGGGAGTCATTAATCAATTCAGTGTTTCTCGAGGTGATTTCAAATGGAGTTCTTAAATATTGCTTTCAGTAATTTTCCTACAAATGATATTAGACTGATTGGAGGGTAGTTAGAGGATAGTGATCTATCTTCTTTCTTTCAAAATCGGTATCACATTCGTTCTCCTTCAGGTTTCTGGTACTTCACCCGATTCTAGTGACAAACATGTTTACTAGGGGTACACCAAGTTCTTCCATGCATTTTTTTGATACTCTGGCATCGGGACCTGGTGACTAATTAGATTTTAGTTTGTCTATTTGTTTACTATCATCGTTACTAGTCACTACTATCTCGCTTAATCTATTGTCTTCATTCTCTCTGTAGATAGTCGCTGCCTCGGGTATCATGTTTAAGTTGTATAATGGGGGGGGAAATATCTCTTCAGAATATAGCTCATTTTTCTTGATTTACTTCTAAGTTTTCCCGTAGCTTTAATTTCTCAACATATTTTAATTCATTACTGGTCATTAAAACAACCTGAATAGCTCTCAAAATGTCAGTCCTAAAACTGTTGAAAATTGTATCATTTAATCAACAGAGAGAAGAAGTGAAACAGAATGAGAGATACAACATCTCTTAATGATCCTTTATTTCCAACATAACATTTGGTATTTACCGCCAAGACGTTACATTACAATCAGTGAATCTTTGTAATCAATTATTCATACATGATTTCTAAATAAAGTAGTTAACAATCATGTATACCTGCACTACTCATGTATACCTGCACTACTCATGTATACCTGCACTACTCATGTATACCTGCACTACTCATGTATACCTGCACTACTCATGTATACCTGCACTACTCATGTATACCTGCACTACTCATGTATACCTGCACTACTCATGTATACCTGCACTACTCATGTATACCTGTACTACTCATGTATACCTGCACTACTCATGTATACCTGCACTACTCATGTATACCTGCACTACTCATGTATACCTGCACTACTCATGTATACCTGCACTACTCATGTATACCTGCACTACTCATGTATACCTGCACTACTCATGGTCTGTATACATGTTGAATCAATGTAAGCTATTATTATGATTTTATTGAGGCTGGTGAAGGAGAGTGTGGCAGACGGGGTGGCTGGTGGAGGAAGGTGTGGCAGACGGGGTGGCTGGTGGAGGAAAGTGTGGCAGACGGGTGGCTGGTGGAGGAAGGTGTGGCAGACGGGGTGGCTGGTGGAGGAAGGTGTGGCAGACGGGTGGCTGGTGGAGGAAGGTGTGGCAGACGGGCTGGCTGGTGGAGGAAGGTGTGGCAGACGGGAAGCTGGTGGAGGAAGGTGCGGGTGACGGGCTGGCTGGTGGAAGGAAGGTGGCAGACAGGGTGGCTGGTGGGGAAGGGTGGCAGACGGGGTGGCTGGTGGAGGAAGGTGGCAGACGGGGTGGCTGGTGGAGGAAGTGTGGCAGACGGGGTGGCTGGTGGAGGAAAGAGGAGGAAGGCAGACGGGCTTGGCTGGTGGAGGAAGTGTGGCAGACGGGTTAGCTGCTGGAGGAAGGTGTGGCAGACGGGTTGGCTGGTGGGAGGGAAGGTGTGGCAGACAGGGTGGCTGGTAGAGGAAGGTGTGGGCAGACAGTGCTTGTGGGAGGAAGGTGTGGCAGATGGGGTGGTGGTGGAGGAAGGTGTGGCAGACGGGTGGCTGGTGGAGGAAGGTGTGGCAGACAGAGTGGCTGGTAGAGGGGTGTGGCAGACGGTGGCAGGAAAGTGTGGGCAGACGGGGTGGCAGGTAGAAGAAGATGGTGTTGGCAGACAGTAACAGCTAGGTGGTCACGCCTACATCTCGTCCACCACACACCTGCCACACTCATAGGAGGTAACTCATCCCCACACACCAGTAACTCACACCCCACACATCAGTAACTCACTCCCCACACCAGTAACTCACTCCCCACACATCAGTAACTCACTCCCCACACATCAGTAACTCACTCCCCACACATCAGTAACTCACTCCCCACACATCAGTAACTCACTCCCCACACATCAGTAACCCACTCCCCACACCAGTAACTCACTCCCCACACATCTATAAGCTTTACCGGTAGTAGTGAAGAACACGAACACCAATCTTTACAAGTGAACAAGACAACACACATGAGAGGCATATCAACTCCGGGAGACGGTCTGAGAATACCTGGTTCACCTCACCTGTTATGAGGTTTACTACACATTGTTCACTTATGTTTGTGTCGATAATGTGAGGCAACAGAGGATTTGGTGAGTTGGATGAAGAGAAGGCTTATGAGTGTCCTCTGTCTCGTAGAACACTGAATAAGAAGGTTTATGGCGTCGAGATTAGTATCAGCTTAACATAAAGTTGCAGCAACAGACTCATTCACGGGTGCTTGATCGGAACAAACATCACAATTTACTGGTTCACGTGTTATTATTAAAACATTCACACCGTCAACAGATTTTATAAAGGAACTGTCTAAAGGTGACCCAGAAGCCTCTTGTCTTAGGTTTCAAAAAGTCAAGCGTCAAAGTGATTGTGACCTCGAGATGAATACAGCGTTGTGTAGTGTGCGTTTGGTAGTTTGCGTCGACACCTGGCTGGTCCGTTACTCCCCAGGCCTCACGATGCGTCACTTGGTCAAGGTAAGTGTTCTCTGGCTCACCTTAACCACTTATGTACACAGCCTTTGTTTCAGATTGAAGTTCATGTCTCTTATGAAATGCCGTGTTTTTGCTTGACCAATTCTTGTTTCTTTCGCTCATCTACCATCATCGCCCCCCCCCCTTCCTTCCCTCCCTCCCTCCGCTGTAACTCTCCGGGCAGAAGGACCCAGCGCTTGTGGGCAGGACCTGTGGCAGTGTCTGTTTCATATGTCCGCAACTGTTCTATACACTGAAGCAATGTGAATTTGTTATGTAT